GGAATGCTTGTATAAAAATCAAGTTTGGGGCCGGCCCCATGGCTCACTTGGGAGAGTGCAGCGCTGGTAGTGCTGAGGCCGCAGGTTTGGATTGTATATAGGGATGGCCGGTGCACTCAGTGGCTGAGTGTGGTGTAGACAACACCGTATCGTGGGTTGCGATCCCCTTACCGGTCAAAAAAAAAAAAAAAAATCAAGTTTTGAGTGCTCCTATTGCTGGGTATCATTTTTGTTTTCTAGTGAACATACTGGTATCTTGATCCAAGTCTAAAGCCAAGCAGGGGACAATAACTGTGACAGCAAGAACAATATGAGTTTTAAGTGTGGTTAGACTGGCAAATACTGACTCTGTGAAGAAAATTAAAATGCGTCCCTGAAGCAGGGGTCAGAATTCTCAGAATCTTACTCTCTATAGTCCTTCTTGCGTCTCAGAGCATATCTCTATTTGAGTGTACTCCTAGACATTGTAGACACTTCCATTGGTCCATCTGACAACCTCTTGAGGCTAACTGTAACCATACCCCTGTTTTTGTTGCCACATCACTGTCAGGGGATATTTGTTGTGTAGGAGAGTAAATCTATTTATTATGCTCACATGCTATTTAGGTGAATATACTGGTATCTTGATCCAAGTCTAAAGCCAAGCAGGGGACAATAACTGTGACAGCAAGAACAATATGAGTTTTAAGTGTGGTTAGACTGGCAAATACTGACTCTGTGAAGAAAATTAAAATGCATCCCTGAAGCAGGGGTCAGAATTCTCAGAATCTTACTCTCTATAGTCCTTCTTGCGTCTCAGAGCATATCTCTATTTGAGTGTACTCCTAGACATTGTAGACACTTCCATTGGTCCATCTGACAACCTCTTGAGGCTAACTGTAACCATACCCCTGTTTTTGTTGCCACATCACTGTCAGGGGATATTTGTTGTGTAGGAGAGTAAATCTATTTATTATGCTCACATGCTATTTAGGTATTAAACACCAAGTTTTTAAAATCTATTCATGTGAGTGAACCTACATCTCATTGAATAAACTGCTCTATTCAAAATAAAAAGGTTTATGAAGAAACAAAGTTCATGTCAATTCATGTTAAGTCTCTGTGTCATCTGTGGCTGTTACTCAAAAAAGTGGATTGGATTATATCATTTATTCGGGTCTGGGAATATTGTTAAAATACATCCTTTTAAATTTGGATAGCTATCCTGGACTTTCCCATTAGGCAGTGATACTCTTGAATAAAGGCTACTCTTATTAAGGTTTTGAAATGTTTATTTTCAGGAATTGAGAATTCTACATTACTCATTTTGTATTTCCTTGCTTATGTAATAAAATCAGTTCCAACCCTTACTGTTGGAATTGTTTACCACCAAACCAGCTTTTACCATTACAATAGACAACATATGGAATCAACCTTAGTGCCTCTCAATGGATGGTTAAAGAAAATATATAATGGTATATATACACAATGGAATACTATCAAATCATTTTTTTAAGGTTGACATCCTGTTATTTGCAACAATATGGATGAGCCTGGAGGACATTATGTTGAGTGAAATAAATCAGGGACCAAAAGACAAATACCGCATGTTCTTATTCATATGTGGAATCTTAAAAAAATTGATTTCATTAAAGTGGAGGGTAAAAATAGAGATTACCAGAGACTGGGGAGAAATAGGGGGGAAGGGGAGATGGGGAGAGGTTAGTCAATGGGTATAATGTTTCTCAATGGGTATAATTATTTCTCTTATCTGCAGTTAGATAGGAGAAATAATTTCTGGTGCTCTATGGCAGACAAATGTGATTATAGCTAACGATAATGACTTGTATATTTCAGATAGCTAGAAAAGAGGATTTGGAATGTTCTAATAACAAAGAAATGATGAATGCTTAAGGTGATGGATATGCTAATTATCATGATCTGATCATTACATGATGTATACATTTATTGGAACATCACATTATGCCTCCATAAATACATACAATTATTGTAGGTCAATAAAAAATTTAAAAAGAACCTAATTCTACTTAATCCTTGTTTTTGCTCATGATTTTCCCTTTCTTCCACCCCATCCCCACCCCAGCCAATAATCCAATAATTATTTTGTTCCCAGCACGTAATACTAAATACTTTGAACAGCTACAGAAAAAGTCGAGCTCAAATTTTCCTGGCTGCCTGAAATCCAGCATATAGCTAGCTTCCCACTCTTCTTCTTTGCTGGCAAAGCAACAATTCTATTACATGTCTAAATTGACCTTTGAGTAAATGGCCAGAGACAGTCTAGACTGACACTTCTAGTTCTATAAAAATTAAACATATTGAACGACACATAAAACCTCATTAAATTGCAATGTTCAGTACCATAGATTTGCTTTTATTTTATTTTTTTTGCTTCATTTTGACAGTCTCATAGCAGATAGTGCACATGACTGACTGAAGTGAAATTAATCATCAAGACCCTGGAACTTGTGACAACTTATGCACAATTTCTTAATATTTGCTCAGACTTGTGAAAGTAAAAGAGGGAAACCCAGGCCTTACCAGTAAAAAACTGGCAAACTGGTGTGAGAAACATTATTCCTTATAGTAATAATAAGTAGTGTTAACAAAAAAGCCAAAAATTAGAACAAATCTAGTTTTGTAGATCTTAATTGGCTTTAATTGCAAGTCTAGACTCTGGCAACAGTCCAGACTAAAAATGGTTCCAAATGCTCCTCCCCCACCAGATGAGTAGGTCTTATTTATAGCCAGAGAAAAGAAAGTGGTATACAGAAACAACCTGATTGGTTACAGCTTGGCATTTGCCTTATTTGGTCATGATGTGATGAGACATTTGCTTTATATGGTCATGTTCTGATCAGTTGGCAGCCTGTAATTGGCTGAGACTCTGTTACTTGTTGTAAGAGGATACTTCCATATTAGGTTACAGTCTGTTTCCACATCGAGTTGGGTTACATTTCACTATGTACAGAGAAACCTTTAGGCCAAACTTAAAATATGCATGGAAGCAGCTTTAGACTAAACTTACTTCAGTTTAGCAGCAGAAATAAAATAAATTTTTTTGAAAAAACTTTGGGATTTTTATCTGTCTCTTAGAATTCTGATATTTTTGTTGACTGCTTTGTAGAATGAGCTTCTTTGGCAATGTGAGACCAGGTATGAGAAGAAAATCTACTGATCACTGGGAAATATGAATCTAAAATAGCCTCTTCTCTTTCTACTAAATTATATTCTTCTCAAAAACAGTTCATTTTGTATTGCTCACAAATATCAAACAGGAAATAAAACAGCAAAAAAATCTGTCATATAAATGATACTTAGATCAAATACGTAAAAGCTCCTCAAAATTTTCAACACATAAGTGGTCTGAAAGTAGGG